TTAATTTTAACGTTAGCTTAACCAGTTTAAACTTTAACTACCATATACATAAATACAGATGTCAAGAATCATTTTGAAAGTGTTTCACACTGCATTATTATCAATGAGTAAGCCAACATCCAAAATGCTTGATATAGTTACTCAAAAGTCTAAATTAATCTAAAAGCATTAGCATGTATCCAACCACAAAGCAAGCCTTTAGAAAATTAAAGAACACCTGTGTGGATCCTCCAATTGTTAAAGTTAAGCTAAATCCTGAGCCCAGTTTCCCAACTGGCCCTCTGAGTTATTCCTGTGCCGGGGGGTCCCAACAGAGACTAGCCAGTTCTGCCCAGGTATTCTCAAGAAGAGTACCAAGAGATGCAATGTTTCCAGACTAATAAGATTACCACTAATTCTTAAAGATTCAGAATAGACTAGACCAAAATGGACACAAAGAACGGCTGGCCCCATGGCCGAGTCGTTAAGTTGCCGCGCTCCGCTTAGGCGGTCCAGGGTTTCCCCGGTTCGGATCCTGGGTGTGGACATGGCACCACTCATCAGGCCACGCTGAGGCGGTGTCCCACATGCCACAACTACAAGGACCTGCAACTAAAATATACAACTATGTACTGGGGGGATTTGGGGAGAAGAAGCAGAATAAAAAGAAGATGGGCAACAGTTACTAGCTCAGGTGCAAATCAAAAAGAAAAATGGATACAAGTAGATTCTTTACTCTTATAGTTAGCAACAGCAAGGGGAAAAAAAACCCTACAGCAATGGCCAAAGACTGATGAAGAAAAGGACTGGTAATGATAACTACAGTGAAGGAAAAACAGGATACAGCAGAAGACCTAGCCATCAAAAGGTGACTTCAGGAAAAAATCATAAGCTAAATTCAGAAAGAACAACTTCACAAAAGGAGGAACAATGTTTTCTGGTACTAGGTGAATGACACTGTGAGTTGAACTACTGTCACAATGTGCACATCAACCCGAGTAAACACAGTGTAAAATATTCCTCAAAGCAATGTATATACACTACCCCGAAGCCAATTACTACAAAAAAAAAGGTGCCAACATTTGCTGGATAAATATTAGGGATGCAAGGTGAGAGAACTCAAAGTGAAGCTTAAGATTTTCCAACAATAATCATGCTCATATGAGCTATTTTCACCTAAATTAATGAAAGCCCCACAACACAGATGTGTTTAACACTAGTGAGTAAAGTAGCTCTTCTTTACTAAATGGTTATTATACTTTCAAACTAAGAATATTTTAAATTTTCATTGAAATTTTAATACTTAGAAAAGATATGTTTTAAAACATGAATTTTATATTCCTAACATACCAAATTAGTGAAAAGTCTTATAGTTAAAATAAAACCTTTACATAGGCACTAAAGAAGATTGCATTAATTCATAAAAAAAGAATGACAGAAGCAAATATTTCTAAAGTTAAAATTAGTTTTAAAAAATTCTGAACAAGTACATAAAAGAAAAACAATTTTAATGTTTCAATTATTCTGCATATTTTGCCAGAATAAAGAATTGCGTTCATGGGGGCTGGCCCCGTGGCTGAGTGGTTAAGTTTGCACACTCCACTTCAGCGGCCCAGGGTTTCGCCGGTTTGGATCCTGGGCACAGACATGGCACGGCCCTTCAGGCCATTCTCAGACAGCATCCCACATAGCAGAACCAGAAGGACCTACAACTAGAATATACAACTATGTACTGGGGAGCTTTGGGAAGAAGAATAAAAAAAAAAAGCTATGCTCCAAATTGATCAATCACAATAAAAAATTTAATAGGTTATTTAAAAAGAAAAAGAATTGTGTTCTATATATGCTATATATTTGTGTGTATGTGTATGTGTGTGTATATATATATTCACTGTCCTTTCATAAACTATTTCTTGGGGACCATATCTGGATGAGATCAATCATTCCCACTGGGATTGAGTCATTGATTCTACATCTGTTAGGCAAAAGAGAAAAAAAAAAAGGAATGTTTTGAATTCTTAAAGCACCGCTTTAGATTATAATGAAAAACCTCTCAGTCAGCAATCCCTAACTTGCTTTAAATTTCAGTCACTTTCAAAGTAACAGACCTAAAAATACATACATATATATATAAATATATATATAAAATTAAAGCCCTTACTACATGGCATTATATATATTGGTTTCACCTTTCAAAACATTTGCACATTGAATCCTGAAAAGCTAACATAAAAAAGGAAATGAAAAAATAAACCAAAATTCATTATGACAATGGGTCTGTTTATTTTGATGATTTGTCAGTCTCTTTATAAGAACTCGTGCTTGCTCAAAACTAAGCATGCAATAGATGATTTAAAAGCAATTTATTCTTAAAATACACTAAACCCCTAAAGTAAAACTCTCGAGAGGTGAACCTCAGTGGAGAAGAATATTTTCTAGATTTTATTAGTAAGAGGCAAACTCTTCTGAAATTTCTAAAGGTAAGTATTAAAAATACCAATTCGCAGAGGAAAAGAGAAGGTAATGTGATTTTGGCTGTCATTTGCAGAGCTATTAAGAACACTCACTGTTAAATGACAACTTTAACATGGAGCCAGAGAGAACAATTCTTCTCCCAGGATTCTTTCAAGAATTTTCCATTTTCAAAATTCACATGAAGGTTAGTTTTATTACTGATGCACTCCACTCCATTTCTATCCATTAACACTGCCTAGAATATGATAACACAGTTTTTAAGTTCAGTCTATGGTTCTACTTCCTGAAGTGTACAGTAGCCATAATTAATTATGTTCCGGGTAGCAGAGCATTTACAAATGGAAACCATAAAAGAAAGCACTATTCATACCATCAGAAGAATAGGAAGGAGCACTACAGAGACCATATAGTTCAAAGAAATTCTCAATATGCTCTAACTTTATCATGGACTTTCAATTTACCTTTCTCAGATACCAGTGCCAATGACTGTATTTACACAAACTTATTAAAATGACCACAATTTAACTTTTACACTGTGTAGTTTGATTACCTTAAACTTTAAATGGAAATGTTTAACTTGTTAAAAATCAATATTCTAACAAAAGGAAAGAATAAGAACATTAAAAATAAATGCCAGGGTTAGTATTATTTTAGTAAACTTACTTTAAAGCACTAGAGCACAAACTCATTTTGTGTGATGTATCAGACTTTTTATCCAATAAGAATCACCTTTCCCTTTTCACAATGCTATAAGTAACCTAGAGAAATTCATCTTCAAAAGGATTATAGATTATTAAAATAAAATTCCATCTGAAGTCATTTTCCTGATATAATCTACATAATATACAATATATTGTTAGTGGTTAATAAGTACTAAGTTTTCTGAATCGCAAGCCCTCCCACCAATTACATATTGATGAAACATGAGACAATTATTTATTAATCAAACTTTTCTGCTCAAGAAACCAAGAGTCACACTCCTACAGCTTTTAGAAGCCCAAATATTTCTGCTCCCTCCCTTCCTGCATGAGGTATGAAACCTTCGCATTATAGTTTTATCTTGCTACTTTCCAAATAATCACTATTCTTCACTACACTTTTATTCGCCACATTTTCATTTGGAGAACAAAGGCTACTCAAAGAATAAAACTATCCAATCTATCCTCTCACTCAAACTACACCGTGCTCCTACTAAGGATCATTCTGTAACCATTTCATCCAAATCACCCAGTGATGGGTCTGACGTTTCAAGTTCCAGTTAAAAGGGCTTGATGTGTTTCAGAGTAAAGCAAGTTATATATTCTGATCATTATGTTCTACTTCCAAAGAGCTCGAGAAAGTTTACCAACACCCTCCTCTCTAGAACAGTAAACATCCTGTGACAGATCCCAGAGAAAAGCTGCTTTGCGGTAAAGAATATAGCTCCTGAGCACTTCTCAGAGCAGCTGTTAGTAACTTTCAGACGCCTGTTTGACTATCACCTTTGTTAAATTAATCATGGGTCATCTTGTTCCACTTCACTTTTTCCCTCTTTTAGTCTTGCAGTTAACGTAGAAAACCTACAGGTCACTTTTAAAAATAAAGTACAAAGAAAAATAATAACCATTACTTTAGCTCCCCTACTTTTCCAAAGTAAATCGTTTCAAGATCCTTACATCATGACTTAAACCACAACATATCAGTTGTACAGGGCACTGGAAGGCTTTCAAAATTTTCCACCTAACCTTACCAAACATGTTCGCAAGTTTTCAGTAATTTCGAGAACGTTCTGTATTAAAAGGTGCTGGTGCAGTCTATCCGAACTGCTGCTCAAATACAAGCTCCGAATATCCTGCACTTGGCAAATTTTAGGTATATTCTGGATACCTGCCGAGCTGTCTGCACCCTTTGTCACCCAGTGATGCTCCCACCAGCAAACACTTTCTATCCTTTAAAACGGCCTTCCTCCCAACCCCTCAAAAAATACACGCTAGACTTGGAGGTTTCCGCACACCAATACGGAACCACTACCACCAGAGGTATTATGGTACTCAAAGAATCCTCTGTAGCAGCCTCCCCTGGGACACTGTGCTCAGCGGGGCTTTGAACCTGTGAGACCCGCTGCCAGCTGCCTTTGCAAAAGCAACACCAAGAGGCAGACTCAATACCGCATTGCTGCTGCTGCTGCTGCTGACTTTCCCTAGCAGCTTCAAAAAAAAAAAAAAAAAAACCAGCCCAGTATCCTGCAGATCCTGCTGGCTTTTCTGCAGCACAGAAGAGAAACCGCCGCATTGCTCTGCGTGGAACACCCGGGAACCCGACGAAAGGGGGGAAAAGCGAGCGCCGTCGAGAGGCTCTGTCCAGGGCGCGGCGTCCGCGGGATGGGGGGGAGGGAAGGCGTCCGGAGTGTAGGGGACCGCGACGAAGCAGCGGCCAGGGCGCCGGCGTCTGGGAGCCCCGCTCCGCAGCGCGCGCCGGCCGGGGCTGTCGAATAGCGGGCCCCTCCCGAGGAGGGGGGTCCCGGAGCGCCAGGCCGAGCCCCGCCCGCCGCCCCCCCGAGCCCTCACCTGTCAGGAGCGCCGGGCTGTCGCCCGCTGCCGCGGCGGGGGAGGAGGCGGCTGCCGCTGCAGAGCCCGCCGCCCGCCGCCCGCGGAGGTTCCTAGGCACCAGCTCGCAGCCGTCCGCCGCGCCGGCCGCCAGCAGCCCGAGCAGCAGCAGCGCAGCCCAGCGCCGCCGCCGCAGGCAGCCCGAGGCCCGGCCGGGCGTCGCGGCGGGATGAGGGCGCGGAGGAGGAGCGGGCGGAAAGCGCAGCGGCTCTCCGGCCGCCGGCCACTCGCCCGCTCCGCGAGGCGCCGCCGCCGCCTGCGACTCCTCGGGCCGCCCCCGCCGCCTCAGACGCGAGCTCCTGCCGGGCGCCAGCCTGGTCCCCTCGGCACCGGCGGCCTCCGGAGCTCGGGTCCCGGCTGCGTTCATTGGTTCCGGTTATTTAAAAAAAAAAAAAAAGGTGAGGGGCAAAAAGGTACGGCGTCTTCAGGCCGGGCGCGACACCCTCGCTGCTGCGGCGGCGAGACCGGGCTCCGCTGCTCTGGCGCCTCCAAACACCAGCCCCAGCCCCAGCGCCCGCGCCGCCGCCGCCGCCGCGGCGCATCCCCCCGCCCCCTCCGGCCCGCGCCCGTCGTAGTACCACGCTGGGCCCCGACGCCTCCTCCCCTCGCACACTCGCTCGCATACCAATCCCCCGCCTCCTTCAGCCTCTCCACCGCGCAGGCGCGGCGCTGCTGCAGTGCGCCTGCGCGGCCGCTCAGCCCCGCCCCCGGGGGCGCTCCCGGGAAGACCGGAGCCCCGCCGGGTAGTTTCTAACGTTTTAGCTGAGCCTCAGAGATAGAGGGTGGAAAGAAAGCCAGGCACGTCCCCTCCCCCATCCACGCCCCCACCTCGATTGCTCGGGGGGCGGAGGAAGCAAGGGAGCGGGGAGAAGAAGACACACATCCCAAATCCTTTAGGCGAAGTATAGCCATGTAGCCGGCAACAAAAATAATTGCATGAGTCAGGACAACCTTGTCATCGGAAACAGCGGCGTCTCCAAAATTTCAATACAGGTGGGGCTTACAAGAGGTTAGCAGTGTGGCAGTGGAGGTTAACGTAGCATCGTTTTATTTACTTGTCCAACACTGAGAGCACTTGCTGCGTACCAATATGCCAGGCACTGTTCTAAGCCTTTTACACATGTACATGTTGTAACTCTAAAGGTTAGGTAGTGTTATCGTTGACTAAGGCCCTGAAATGTCAAGTAACTTGCACCCAGGACCCACATCTAATAAATGGGAGGCAGGGCCGGGTTTAGCACAGCTGAATGGAAGTAGTGGAAAGGATTTGCTCTAGCCTCTGACTCTCCTATGTTCAAACATTACGTGAACTCATCACCTCCCTACCCACCACCCCATGGAGTCTTTGCTGTCAGTTGAAGAGGTTGACAGAAGAACGGTGGTTCAGACTTCACATGGCTTCAGCTACCTCGACTGAAGCACAGTTGTTCGCACAGAAACACAGAGGCATTTTCTCTCCCAGGGGCACAAAGTTGTTTAAGATTTGCAGATAGTGTTCTTAAGCTCAAAGATCCTATTTGGTACTGGGTTTTTGTTGTTGCGTTAGGGTTTTGATTTTGTTTTTTATTGGTTTGTTTTTCTCAAGTCAAGAAGATACTCAAATTACAGAATCTCTCAAAGAATTTCTTAGGCAGCTTGCCCCACATAACCATTCACTGTGGAAAGGCAAATGCACACTTCAGAAAAGAAGCAAGAATTTCTTTGAAGCTGGTCAACCTATCAACAATTATTTCTTGACAGACTTCTTGGGGACATGGTTTTCAGGTGGCAATTCTTTTTTTCTTCTTCTTCTTTTCCTCTGAAAAGCCTCCCAGTACACAGTTGTATTTTCTAGTTGTAGGTCCTTCTGGCTCTGCTATGTGGGACACCGCCTCAGCATGGCTTGACAAGCGGTGCTAGGTCGGCACCTAGGATCCCAACTGGGGAAACCCTGGGCCCCCAAAGCTGAGAGCATGAACTTAAGCACTCCACCACCAGGCCAGCCTCAGGTGGCAATTCTTTATAGGGCAACAGGGAGATTATATTTCCCCTGCAGGAAGGCACAGCAATCAAGTCATACATTTGCTGAGTGTCTGCCAAAAGGAGATATTCTGCTAGAAGACTAGGAAAATATAAAGAAAATAACAGACTTGTTTCCTGCTCTCCAGAAGGTAACACTTTATTCAATCATTATTTACTAAGCGCCTAGTATGTGCCAGGCAGAATACTGAGTAGTGGGTACTCAACATGGAATAAGAGAGACACTTGAAAAAGTCAGTCAAGTCATTACCCAGGTATATAAGATAGAGAACACAGTCCCTGCCTGGGTAATCTTACCATCTTGCTTAGGAGATAAAATTTACACCCATTAAACAATAAGAGACTGATACAGGTAGTAGTTAATCAGTTGCTAAATTGGGTAGAGCAAGCTGTGTTATAGCAATGACAGCAGTATAAACCCATGAACAAATTAACAAATCATCAGGGCCAACCTTCTGTAAACAAAGATGATACGGTGTTTTTTTTTTTCTTTCTTTCAAAGATTGGAAGGATGCTGGCACTGAGAGGGTACTGGATTTGGGGTTAAGGTTAAGCGTTTATTCCTCTCACTACTGGAGCCAGGAAGGAGATAGGAAGATACAGAACCTACAAGCTGTGAAGAGACCTCTTTCAGGCAGGCCAGTGTCCAGCAATAAATCCTCCATCTCTTAGCATCTTTGCCAGGGGTACCGAAGTTTCCGACTGTTAATGAGTTGCCGGAATGCATCCTCTTGCTGAACAGAGGTATACTATCACTGTGAATTTAGCATAACCCTAAGTGCAGAAAAGAGAAAGTCCACTGCTTTGGAAGACAAGCCTACCTCTAGAATTACAGATGCTTCTATTTGCAAACCAAACATAAACACAAGGTTCCAGTTGAGGCAATCACTTCCCTTTCTTCTCAGATTACCTGTCCCACCTCCAAGCCTTTGCTTTCCCTTTCCTTGCCTCCTCAAAGCTTTCTTCTCCCCTTTCCTCTTGCTAAATCCCACTCAAAATCTACTTTGAGCCCCTTTTCCTTACCTCCTTACTCCTACAGCCTGATTTATACCTCTTAAAGTCCAAACTTAACGATTTGCCACTTATTTACAGAATGTCTTTAATTTTTACAGATTCATGATTTCATGGGTCTGATGGACAGCACTGAGTTTTACAATCACATAAACCCAGTGGAAATGGAACTCCACCATTTTCCAGCTGTGTGACCTATAGACAAATTAATCTGTCCTCGGTTTCCAGGGAGGAAGTCGAGGACCATGCAAATTGGGGACCACATAATAATACCCGCCCCACAGGGTTGTTATTGGCGCTAGGAGAGTGAAATTACGGGTCAGCGCGGTGCCTGGCACACAGGTACGTTGTCATCCCTCGGGGAGAACTGCCCCAGGCTCTGGGCGTGTATTCTGAGCGTGTTCCTGGCTTAAGATAAGCACATCGCACTTTGCGTGGTGGTTTGGTTTCATCTTCCGACAAATAAATCACTAACTCCGTGGGAAGTGCCCAACACAGACGCACAGCAGGATCCGTCCATCCAGCCCCGCCCCATCCCAGAAGCAAACTCGCCCTTCCCAGGAGTTGGGCTCCCTCCCCATCTCCTTCTCCCTCTTCTCCGCCCCAGCAGGGATAGCCCAGGGCGCCCCACCCGCTCCAACCCGGAGAACCGGATCTCGTCCCGCGAGCGAGGCCAGCAGTGCGCCTGCGCCACTCGGCCAGCCTCACGCATGCCCGCTGTCTCCACCGCCCTTCCCCAGGTGCGCGAGCGCTCAGGCTCCCGCGGTTCCGGGACGCCGCGTCGAGGCTGGCCCGGCTTCCGCCTCCCACTCGGTGGGCGGCGCGTCCGGGCGCCGGGCCGCCGCGCGATGACGTCACCGCGCGGGCGGACGCGGCGGGCTTTGCGTGGGCGTGGGGCCGCAGCTGGGGCGAGGGTGGAGGAGTGGGGAATTCCGGCCCGCGGTTAACCGAGAGGTGCTTACTCTTGCGTTTCGGTCTCCCGTGGAACTCCTCCGGCCCGCCGTTGACCCCCGAGGGCGGGTTGCAAGCAGCATTTCTCTGTGCCCCTGCAATGTCGGGGACTGACGGAGCATCATCCGAGAGCCCGCTGCATTTGCTCATCACGATTAACCCCCCTGGGAGAAATGCAAAGTGCACCCTTTGGTGGGAAGCCCTGTTGCGTACCAACCACTTTGTTTCTCCACTAATTCCCCACGCAAACTTTCCAGGGAATTGAGGTCACGAGAACTTTGGAAAGATGTGTAAAGTGATAGAACTTATATGAGGGCCCCAGGATCCAAACTGTGAAGCCTCAGCATAGAAATATCGTCCTCAAATTTTTGAGTGAATTAAAGCGCTAAGAAAAATAGTGACACAATGGAGGTAACTTATTAGCAAGATTCTTCCTAAAGCCATTAAGGCATGGGAAATTCCTCAGCTGGTTTAGTAAAGGGGATAAACCTTATCATCGCATCTTTGTCTGTGAATGGAGGAAGGAAGTCTTTTAAAAGGTCTACTGCATCCAGAGTAGGAAATCAAAAAACCCTAAGAATTTTTAACTTATTAACCTAGTTTTTTAAAAAGCCACCCAACGAAGCCAAAGCAAGTCAACTTTGCCCCCCAAAGCCAAAGGAGTCAGTGGGCTTGCAGGGTCATTTCTATTATTAAGGAGGATGTTTGTTGTATTACTGCTTAATTTGAGGCATTATATAAATATTATTGATCACATAATATCTGTGCTGAAGCAGAAGGAGTGCTGACTGTTCTCGTAAAAGCAGGAATAGAATTGTGATGGAGAGAAAAGTAGAGATACTCACAATTTAAAATGATGAGAAAATGAGAACTGCTTCATTTGCACACAGAGGAATCTTTGGATGGTAATGACAATTCTGAAGATGAAAGGCAAATTATGCAATAGGTAAAACATGATATGCCTGTGCTCTTGACAGCAAGAGACTGGACAAGTGATTGATGGGATGGAAAAACTTTTGAGTATGATGCAAGAGACTAAGCTTCTAAGTCAGATGCCTTCTAACCTAATCTTAAGTCACATAAGACCAAGTATTTGTTCTAGAAGTAAAGCTTAGGATGTTGAAAGCTTAGGACAGGCAAAGTGTGGTTCCATGGGCCCAAAGCACCAATCAGATATTCATGACATCTGTGAGTTATGAAGCACAAAGGTGCTAAGGAGTTCCTTACAACACCTGAAGAGATTATCTAAAGAAGGGAATTACCGATCCTCAGTTTCATAGTGTGCAAAACATGTCTGTCTATTGTTTTAAAAGATGTCATGGAACATACACGAGCAAGGAGGAGAGAAGTAGACCTCTTTTAAAGTTTCAGGGGGTTGCCCACTTCCCCGTCCTTTTGTGGAAAATTCATACAGAGACTACAAATTTAAACTCCTTCTTCTCAAGTTTAGATGAATAAAAACATGGCCATAAGTACAGCCATTTGGAATCTCAACCCTTCCTAAGGAGAAGAACTCCTGTATCTTAGTTCCAGGAAAGCCAGGTCCTTGCTACAGACTTATCTGAGGCAT